TAATAACCAGTTTATCATGAGCTCACTTTATTTGATCTTTTCGCACATTTGACGGTTCAGTTTATACTGGTTTCGCATACATAGGCCCAATGTAATAATTTGAAGGGGCTGTAGATGATCTACAGTTACCCATCATTGGTTTAATTTATGGTTCCAATGCAGATGACAAAGGTCATATAAAATTATTATTTTCTATTACATTTTCAAATGCAATCTTTTCTTCTGTTTCTGTCTTGGGCAGATAGATAAATCTATATTGTTTTGTTATGAAATAAATATAAAGGCCTTTTTTATATATTTGACCACTATTTGGCCTATCCATCATCTGTACACTTAGTTGCAGTTGCGCTTTGACATTTTTTTTTATATATTTGATGGGACGACGTTTGACCACTATCTCGCCTGGTGGTAAGCGATGATGCGGTCTAGGATGGAGCACGTCATCCCATAAGCAACCTATTCACTCGGGCCTTGAAGACTCCCAGGTTATACCCTTCAGGAAGTACAGACTCTGGCAAAGAATTCCACTCTTTAGCAGACTTTGACTTATCTTGCCTGGTGGTAAGCGATGATGCGGCCTACGATGCAGCAATAAGCAACCTATTCACCTCAGGCCTAGACACCCAAGTTCAGGAAACACAGACATTAACAAAGGTCATTGCAAAATTGTGATTTTTGTATTATAGATAAATAATATAATCAAATTATGGAAATAAGTACACATATTTATTTTTTAAGTTCTTTTCTTTTATGATAAGATACAAACGTATTTATGATGAGTTAAAACAAAAGTACATTACTTGAGAAGGCATCCTATTTATACAGCTTGTGCAAAATATTACAACCATTAGAAAAAATCCTATAGATAGGTGCATTCCTATCAATTCTCTTGGGGAATCCTGATTTAATGTGAATGAGATCTCTTCGAAAAATATATCATTTATTAGCAAAAAAATCGCATAAGAAAAATTATAAAATATATTTTAAAATCAATAACCTCCTTTTTTAGGAGTCGGTTAAAAAGAATACTCTTTTTCAAAGGTTGATGATGAAGAAATTCAGGCAAGGTGACAAGTGAAACAAGTGAATTTATTTCTGCAAATAGGCTATAAGGCAGCACTTTTACATGTCAATTTTATCAAGCGAACTTATATATTATCTATTTTTAGGAAATTTAGAAAATAATTCAATATTAAAATAATAACGAAGACGATGTAGTATAAGATAGCAATAAACTGAGACCTAGACATAATATCTTGCATATACATATTAATATAATATATCAATATATAGCACCCTTAGATATATGGCAGTATATGATATGTAAGTACATACATACAATAACAATATAAATATTATACGACAATATAAAAAAATATGCTTTTTGAAAAGTCAATCAATTATGAGCCCCGGTGCGGCTAGAAATTGATGGAGTGTCCTCGAATAGTTATAATTTAAAGGAATAGAATATATTATAATATAATATTTGTTTCAAGTAATGAGCAGGAACAATTACACCTGGGAGCAAAGAAATGGAGCCATTCATCATCAACAGCCTATAAATGCCCACTGCTGAGCAAAGCCTCTTCTCACACGGAGAAGGTTAGAGCATTAATCACCACGCTTGCTCAATGCGGGTTGGCGATTTCAAACTTATAATTAGAAATTATCTCTAATAATATAATTAGAAATTATAATTAGAAATTATAAGTCCAGGTTTCCTCACGATGTTTTTCCTTCACCGTTTGTCAGTGGTGTCTAAATAATCTTAGAAAGTACATATAACTCGGAAAAAGTCACATTGGTACTTGCCGTTGGTAGGTTTCGAACCTGCACCCTCATGCATGAGAAATGGGCGTCTTAAACCTCCGGGCCACCACGACAATGAGCCATTAGCCAAAGTCAAAATCATTTATTTGAATTAGACCAGGGGACTTAGTCTGCTATTACAATTGTGTCAGAATGGTCTATGTTATACAACCTAATAGCGCCGTCACAGCTCAATGATGGACTATTCTGACAGTATTGCATAGCAGATTCGGGCCCCAGAAAGACACGTTTGAACGTCAACAAAAATCTACACTTTGGAATGAACAAATAGCTTCACTATTTGCTCATTCCAAGGTGTAGATTCCTATGGAGACGAATGAGCAAGAAACTCTTTTTCAATCAGGCTCACAATACTATTCTCTAGTTACATAGGTTTGTTAGTTCGATAGGGTTTCTTCTTTTTCATTTCTGATACAAGTATTGTATTTATTGGTACTGTATGTCGTATTAAAGGCCTTAGTTACCTTTAAAATAAGAGCATTTTGTTGTTAAAGGATTTTTTAAGTTATAGAAGGTTCAATAATATGAAAAAAAAAACGCATGCGACTTCGTTTCTTTGTTCCCAAGTGGACATAGATACTTAGATGATATTTTCTCATTGATTTATCATGGATCCATTAAAAACTTGGTTAGGTACATACATGTTTAGTAATGGTTTAAAATATATATATTTCCATATAAAAGAGTGAATTTTTTGTATCGTATTATAATTTATTAAGTGTTTTTGAATGGGTAATGAATGAACAAGTTTAAACAAAAATAATTTTTTATTTACATTTTTTTATAATTCTTATACACCTAACATATACTTTTAATTTTTTATATAATACCAAACCTTTGACACGTGTAAGTAATATCATTCGATTTTCATATTTTTTTTTCTAAATTATTATTTTTAATTGTATCACCTAAATATTAGGAAGAGATAATTTTAACAAAAAAACGTTGTAATTATAACAATTTGACACATTAAGTACATATTGAATTGAATACATACACCATTAATTTTAAAATATAGTTTTTTTACTACCTAATTTATTAATAATAACACGAAGGAAATATTTTATAAAATAGAGATAAACCCCTTGCCTCTTTGATTATATGTTTAAAACTATAAAAAATATGAAAACAAAGGTGTTCAAAATTTTGACAATTCTTATTCTTTATAACCTATTTTTTTAAACTTTTGCTATCTTTTTCTCCTTTACAGAGGAAGATAGGACTTACTTGCGACCTGTCATAACATTTTTTTTATTCTCTTGCCTTTTCTTACTTTAATGTAAAGAAAAGGATAGCAATAATCCAACTTACCCAGTTAACTATCCAACCAAAAGGTATTTATTATTTGAGAGCCGTATTAATTTTCCAAAAATAAAAACTAAACTAAAAGGCATTTTTAAAATTTTTAGGCGGCTCATTTTTAATAATACTAAAATAACAACAAATAATATCCCCCATCCAATTTAAATTCCAAACATAAAAACAACAACCGTAAAACGGGGTGAATAGAATTCAAAATGTGAATAGATAGATACGAGAATGGGGTGAATATAAATATACATGGTTAGAACATGTTCCCAATAAGTTAGAAAATGTTAACAACATGTTTTCCTTTTTTTTTAAGATAAACGTTGCCCCACACTAGTATTTTCTCCTGTGTCGTGGGTGCGTTTACAAACATACACAATAACACCCAGACCCGAAACAACAATTTGTGGATCACACAAAGTGTTGTCCCGTGCGGGAATCGAACCCGCGACACGTTGCACGGCAGCTGGTTGCCCAGCCACCGCACCAACCGTGTTAGAACATATTCCCAACATTTATTTTTGTGTATCTATTCAACACTGTAATTTTATCCACCCCGTTTATACTGAACTGAAATTTTTGTAACAAAAACACGTTTTTTATATAAAAATAACACACGATTTGAAAAAAAAAATACATTAATAAATTTTCTATTTGTGCTTCGTGAGACTTAATAGTAGCCAGTCTCAAGCCTATCTTTCTGTCTACTTACGCCAACAATGCTAAGATTTGTCGATATGAAATGTTGTTAAACGAAATATAAGGATGGAACTACGTCTCTATAATAAAATAGAACATAGTATTGTATTATTTAATCGTAGTGGCGGTAAATTCGCGCATTGAAAAGACTATCTTCTTAATTAACTAAAAAATACGAATTACTCACGTAAATATACTGAGAAAAACTCTAAGAAAATGCCCCCCCTTACCCCCACCACGACTAAATCTTACTATACCATGCTACCACGTGTCTGGGACTATACCATCAGATAGTTTGGTGAGACTGAGACTAACCATTGTATCTGTTAACCGTAATGAGTAGACTGACATAGAAAATGATATCAAATTTATCTCGTAAATATCTAATAGCCCCTTTTCACTAACCTCTCATAAAATTTAAGGATAAGATAGGTGACATTTAACAACATTTTGATTTTCACCACCATATAAGTGACACCTAACAGAGGTTAGTTTAGATGGTACGTCACACTAAGTAACTTTTAGTTAAGAGATGGTTTGGGGGTGGCTGGTGAAAACAGACATTAATGCCGAGAATTATTATACCTTGTTATAGCACTAATAAACATAATTATATTATTATACTTAGCATTCTGTTTAGCCAACATTATTAAAGAAAATATAATAAAAACTTTTTTCAATCCCTTATTTATTTGTTTTAATATCAATAAAAAGGCTTTTAAAGCATGCTGGGGATTTGGTACGGTCCGAAACATTTTGATCAGACTTAAAATATGAATTATTGTGTTGTAGAAAATTGTGCTTGGATTTGGTATCTTATAGCTCAAAATGTATATAAAAACATAGCCCTAGGAAATTATTTTCCTTTACAATTTATATAATTAAATTCTATATTACTGAATGATATATTATACTATTTCTATATTAGACACTTTAAAGGTTATTTAAAAAATTGTGACCATAAATACTTACTGACATTTAAAAAAAAATCTGAGTTCGAAATATGGCAGTGTCATTATTAATTTCGAATACATTTTAAATTTAGAAAACAGCCAGTTCTTTTAAATTCAGAATGCTTATTATTTATTAAAACTTACGGAATATCCCCAAGATTGCGGTTTGGGCGCCATTTTGATTATTTTTTCTTCTTTTTTGTAAATAATTCAGCTTGCGGTTGATGCGTAGCGGGATAATTCGGGCAGGACCATGCCAACAGCCTGAAAGAATTGTGCAATCTAACATGAGCTTATTAACAACACCGTCCGGTAGTCGGAAACATGGAAAGGTCTGGAAAAGGATGGGTGGGCGAAGTCATACATTAACATCGTGTTTTATCAAAGTAATACAAGATCATCAAGAAACTATATATAAATAATGATTTTCTGTAAAAGAGGATGATTTTCGGAATATATGTTTTTTGAATTTCTTGGGTAAGAGTAAAAAAAAAACAACTTGGATAGGAAAAAATCACCGAAAGGCATTAGCTATTTTCCTATAAATAGTATTTTTAACCTATCTACTCTCTGTGCTGTCAGAATCAGAAATAATGACAGTTGAAGTTAACTGTCAAATGTCAAAAAATTAATTTATAAAATTATGCCACTAAATGCATGCTCTCATTAAAAATAGATATTAGAACATTTCCCATTATTTGATAATGATGTTGATTGGTAATTAAATTGTGAAAATAGTAAAGCGGAAACGCAAGTTTAGTGGGCCTTGTCTGTAGAAAGAAGCACTAACCAACTGATGTATTTCGTTTTTCATATTGGTAACAGTTTAAATCCCTGAAGGGTTCTGAGTTCGGGAGCTTGATTTAGATTGGTCGTAGCACTTATAGTTCAGGCAACTTTAGGAACCAAAGTAGTAAAACATAATAATTTATACAAAAAACGGTTACCTCATTTTCAGCTCTTTCCTCATCGCTTTGGTACTGGACATCCAACTCTGAACTGTTCACACTGTTCTCCCAATCTTCTGATGACTCCACTGATGACGCGTCCAGGTCCATTTCAGCTAAAGATAAAATAAATAACTCTCAATATCTACTGATTATACATTTTAATCGCCGTAGGGACACGTAGGGCTACACATTTACAGTGTAACAGACACCTGGACAACTATTGTCGTTCAGTTTTTGGACACTGTATAATCAATATTAATATGAACACATTTGCACATATTATTAAGAGCAAAAAATGTCTGAAACCTATACTATTTTAAAATGTAGGATATTTTTTTTAATGGGACAAGCCCGCCACTGCCTCCCAAAACCGCTGCAACTCCTGTAAGCCAGGATCTACAGTACGTACAACCATGAAAACACCGGAACATTGAAGTCCGGCGCGTCCCAAAGACATGAGTAACTGTCTTGGTTCCCGCAACGAAGTGAATCAGAAGATATTATAAGAGGAGAAGAAGAAAATGTAGAATATGTAGAATTAAAAAGAAAATTGTTGTATGTGCATATAAAAAAAGTTATTGAATTAAAAGTGGTGTTAGGTATGTACATTAAATACCCTATTGTGCCTAACCTTACCCTTTGAGAACAAGGCGTAAATGTTTTTTTTGCTTATTTTTTTTTTATTTTTCTTTGTCTAAGTTATTTTACGGTTATTAAGGGATTGTATTGTGTAATTGTTGATGTTGATAAAGGTTATAGTAGTTTTTAAGTTTAGGTACTTATAATGTGTAACTGCATTTATTGTATTAGGTGTGCCTGTGATGATAAATGTAATGTTTAAATATAAATCTTATACTATTATATAAAGCGGAAAAGTTTGGTTTTTTGTTTGTTTGTTTGAACGCGCTAATTTCCGTAACTACAAGTCTGATTTTAATAATTCTTTTTGTGTTGGATAGCGCATTTATCGAGGATGGCTATAGGCTATAAAACATCACGCTACGGCCAAACTCGCAGGGCTCTGGGATGAATATGGGCGTTCCTCAAGGTTCAATATTGGGTCCCTTTCTCTTTTTAGTCTATATAAATGATTTGCCATTTATATTTAAAAATTAACCACGAATGGTACGAATGGAACGGTGCTTTTTGCAGATGATACATCATTAATTTTTAAAATAGATCGACGTACAAATAATCTTGACGACGTAAACAGCTCCATTCTTCAAGTGCATAATTGGTTCACCATTAATAATCTAGCACTTAATGAGAAAAAAACTAAATGTATTAAATTCAGTTTACCAAACGTGCGTAGTATCGATAGTGATATTGTTTTGAACGGTCAAAAGTTAGAATTTGTCGACGAGACAGTATTTTTAGGCATTACGTTAGACAATAGGCTACAATGGGGTCCGCATATAAAGGCGCTTTCGGGGAGATTGAGCTCAGCTGCTTTTGCAGTTAGACAGATTAGACAGCTCACGGACGTAGATACAGCTAGGCTTGTCTATTTTAGTTATTTCCACAGCATTATGTCGTACGGCATTTTGTTGTGGGGTCGAGCTGCAGAAATAGAATCAATATTTATTCTACAAAAGCGGGCTATCCGAGCAATATATAACTTACGCCGTTGCGAATCGCTGAGAGAATTGTTTAAAACGATAAATATTTTAACGGTGCCCTGTCAATATATATATGAAAATATAATGTATGTAAGGAAAAATAGGCAATTGTTTGAAAAAAGAAGCGATAGACACAATTTTAATACTAGAGGCAAAAATAAGTTAGCTATACCGCAATTCAGACTGTCCAAAGTACAGAAATCCTTTAATGGGGTTAGGTATTAAATGCTATAATAAAATACCACATAGCATACTAGATTTCAATGAAAGTAAATTTAAAACATATTTTAAGCGCGAATTATGTTATCAAGCTTACTACACACTGACAGATTATCTTGAAGATAAGAATGCTTGGCAGCATGTTGGTTCGGCTCCACTGGACACTCAAATGTAGTCTGTAGCTAAATTCCAATAGTACGTAATTTAATACATGATTTAACATTTTAATTCTAATGTAGACAATCTAGTTTCCTTATGGCATCGAGCATTTCTTTATTGAAACAAAGAGTTTCCTTTTCTTGTATAGAAGCACTAATTTTATGGATTGTCAGTATGCATATGTGAGCAAGATTTTTTTTTTAATTTTAGTAAGTTATTAGTATAATGCGTCAAGCGTGTCTTTGCATTGTTCTTACATATGCGTACAGTATTGAAATATGTATCAGACATTGTAGAACATACTTTTTTAAAAATAGTAACGAATGGAGTTTCTTGCTCGTTCTTCTCCATTCGAATCTACTTTTTGGAATGAGCACCTAGCTTCACCTAGTTTCACTGACGGACTGACTGACAGACTATTATTTATTTTGTATTTGTTGACGTTTCAAAAGCACCAAACTATGGTTTAATTGAAATAAATGCTTTGACTTTGACAATAGGAGCTGAGCAGAGCGTGTGAAACCGCGCGAAAGTTGCTAGTAAATAAATAAAGACAAATGACTACAAGAACTTTTTTATTTACAACGGAGGTAAAATGCCAACTCATTTCCAATAAAAAAAACTTACCAATAACCATAGGCTCAGCATGTCGATTAGGTGGTACAGCTGGCAGTCGGAGCGCGGTGGCATTGATGGCGAGCGCCTGGGCCGCCCCGTGCCGACTGCTGCTTGAGGGTTGAGGGGATAAGTCACCCAGAGTACCGTCCGGTGATGGCAGCTCTTCATCGTATCTTACTAGGGGATGCTCCTGGGACGAAAGATAGAAATAATGTCTATACTTAGATAGGAATAGTCAGTCAAGATATCCGGTCAGAGATTGACTGCACGATTGGCGCGGTGGCTCTGCAACCGGCTGCCCCGCAACTTGTAGCGGGTTCGATTCCCGCACGGAGCAACTCTTTGTGTGATCCACAAATAATTGTTTTGGGTCTGTCTGTCATGTGTATCTGATAATGTATGTTCGTAAACGCACCCACGATACAGGAAAAAGTCCTAGTGTGGGGCAAAGTTTAAAAAGAAAAAAAATGTGGAGCATCGTCTTTAAATTAAAAAAAAATGTAGTATGCTCTATGTAGTTAGGTAAAGTTAAATTTGAATAAAGATGGAAATTAGGTAATACTAATAACCTATCGTAACTTTAAAATCTCTGAATCGACACTTTTTTGGCAGAAACTCGGTACAACTACTTATGAAAAAGACTAATGACAACAATCAATCGGTTATTGATTTCGGCCGTGAGTAAATGATGATTGATTCAGTACAGAGACATTAACAGGTCATGTGAGTACCCAATTATTTTGTACTAGCTTTTACCCGCGGCTTCGCTCGCGTCACAAAAGGATAAAAGTAGCGTATGTGACATATACCAATACACACAGCGCCATCTATACCAATTCTTTTGTTTTCCCTCGGGAATATCAAATCTTTCGGTATAAAAAGTACCCTATTATTTAATCCGGACTTCAAACTTTACGTCTGCAAAAATTCAAAGCAATCGGTTTAGAAGTTACGGCGTGAAAGCGGAACAAACAAACAAACAAACAAACAAACAAACTCAGTTTCCCATTTATAATAGTAAGGATTTTGTAACCAGTCTCTATAAAACACTACTGTTTATGGAGGATTAGATTTTGTGAGCCACGCTGCCAAGTGACGATACTCGGTGAATTTTCTTGACTTGAGGGCCTAGTGAGTTTTTCTTTACTTCGACACGTTTATAACTTTGCGCGCTCTGATTTTGACTAACCAATCAGTGGGCTAAACGCGGTAAACTGTCAAAGTCATCATATAATATGTCAAAGTTCCATACCAAAGTATACCAGTGAGACGTTATGATTTTATACTTACAGGATGAGATAGTTCGCATATCGGGTTTTGGCGAAGGTCGATCATCTCCAGAACGGAAAGGTAAGAAGTGTCGAAGTCTGCTGGGAGATACGATATCTGTGAAATAAATAAAAATACATACAATCAAATATAACTTCAAATAATTAAATACTCTGTTGATTTTAAGAATTCCTGTATCGAGAAAAAACTGATGGGTTTTTAGGATGTCACACAAATGGTTAAAAGGGATCAAGTTTCGATGTTCATTCAACTGTCAGCAACCGCTCTTGCCGTAACCCGCTGTGAATGGAAAATCCAGGATTTGTGCTTATCATCAATAGGTTAATATATAATCAATAGACAAAAACAACGTGTACAAGGCGGAGAGGTCTTGATTAAGCCATCGATAGCTTAGGGGACACTGCTGCTCGTAGTTTTAACACAATACATACCTAGGGCATAGAGCCAATTAAAACATATACCTAGGACCTTTTTTTTTAAGTGGGGAAAATCATCGAATGGCTGCTCCCGCCTGGGTGAGGCGGGAGGGAGTGTCAGACTCTTACTGACTAAAAACCACCCCGTTCCTTCTCCTGCACGTCGAGCCGGAGCCCCGGTTAGTGTTAGGTTCTCCGCTTTAGGGTCAATTAAAACATTTAAACAAGCAGTACATTTGTTCATCAAGTCTACTAAGGAAAGTCAACATATTGAATTGTTTGTCAAAATAAACAGGTCGATAGTGTGTAATAATAAAAACGTGTCATTGTACTTCTGTATGTATGTAGGTATGTATGTATGTATGTATATTGCTTTATGTACACAACACCGATATTATGTGTTACGGTCATGTTTACATAACATACCTAATGCGTAGAACATTATGCGCATTTTATTTCCCGAAGAAATACAACATAATAATAAACATACTACTTTGACTGCACGGTTGATGGAACCACATTTTGTGTGATACACAATTGTTGGACAGGGTCTTTTTTTAAAGGTTTGAAAATCATCGAATGACTTCTCCCGCCCGGGTGGCGAGAGGAATTGTCAGACTCTTACTGACTAAAAACCACGCCGTTCCTACTCCTGCACTTCGAGTCGGAGCCCCAGCAACCTGTTAAGTCCTTCGTAGCTCCGTATCGGTATCAGCCCTACTGGACCCCTTCTTTGGCGATCTGACGGGTCTTTGAGGAGCGCGCGACGCGCCGTACGCTTGGGTTGTTCAGGGTCTGGTTGTGATATTATTATGTATATGAATTTATATGTATCTAAAATCTAAACGCACCATATAGATTGGTGTCCCGGTTAAAAAATATGTTTTGTCTTGTTTGTTTATAAGTCCCATCGAGGGGGGAGGGGGGAGCCTGCGTGTTATTACGGAAAAACCTCAGTACTTCGGACTTTGTTTGACCCATCAAATAACTCCTCCAGCCCTGGGTGAGGCGTCGCGGAGAACCTAACGGGTTACCGGGGCTCCGGCTCGACGTGCAGGAGAACGAACGGGGTGGTTTTTAGTCAGTAAGAGTCTGACACTCCATCCCGCCTCACCCAGGCGGGAGCAGCAAAATCGATGATTTCCCCCCTTAAAAAAAATCCCTGGGTGAGGCAAAATTCTCTATGAGGCAAGTCCAAAGATCACCAAGTACAAATAGCATATTATAACCATGTTTACATAATCTATATATATATAATTCAAAGGTGATTGACTGACTGACTGACTGACATAGTGATCTATCAACGCACAGCCCAAACCACTGGATAGATTGGGCTAAAATTTGGAATACAGATAGATGTTATGACGTAGGCATCCGCTAAGAAAGGATTTTGATAATTTCCACCCCCAAGGGGGTAAAAAAGGGGATGAAAGTTTGTATGAAACTTTGTCAGTTTTAAACCGATCGGGTTTAAATTTGGCATGCAGATAGATGTTATGACGTAGGCATCCGCTGTGAAAGGATTTTGATAATTTCCACCCCCAAGGGGGTAAAATAGGGTATGAAAGTTTGTATGGGACTTTGTCAGTTTTAAACCGATCGGGTTGAAATTTGGCATGCAGATAGATGTTATGACGTAGTAATCCGCTGTGAAAGGATTTTGATGATTTCCACCCCCAAGGGGGTAAAATAGGGGATGAAAGTTTGTATGAAGCTTTGTCAGTTTTAAACCGATCGGGTTGAAATTTGGCATGCAGATAGATGTTATGACGTAAGCATCCGCTGTGAAAGGATTTTGATAATTTCCACCCCCAAGGGGGTAAAATAGGGGATGAAAGTTTGTATAGGACTTTGTCAGTTTTAAACCGATCGGGTTGAAATTTGGCATGCAGATAGACGTTATGACGTAGTAATCCGCTGTGAAAGGATTTTGATAATTTCCACCTCCAAGGGGGTAAAATAGGGGATGAAAGTTTGTATGAGACTTTGTCAATTTTAAATCGATCGGATTGAAATTTGACATGCAGATAGATGTTATCATATAAGCATCCGCTAAGAAAGGATTTTGATCATTTCCACCCCTAAGGGGGTTAAAATAGGGGGTGAAAGTTTATATGAAGCTTTGTCAGTTTTACACCGATGCAGATGAAATTCGGCATGCAGGTAGATGTTATGACGTAGGCATCCCCAAGTAAGGATTTCCATTATTTCCACCTCCAATGGGGTAATGTAGGGGATGAACGTTTGTATGAAGCTATGTCAGTTTTACACCGATCGGGTTGAAATTCGGCGTGCAGATGGATATTATGACGTAAACGTCCCTTTAGAAAGGTTTTTGAACATTCTCACCCCAAAGTATGATACTTTGCCAGTTTTAAATTGATCGGGCTGAGACTTTGCATGCATAAATTTACTATGACATAGGTATCTCCTTAGAAAGGATTTTGATAAATTCCACCCCTAAGGGGATAAAATAGGGAATGAGAGTTTGTATAAATCTTCTTAGCCATTGAATTTAGAATCATTGAATCTTTTTGAATTACATTCGGTAAAACGAAGTTTTGGGACCTGGGTAACGTTTGATAGTTTTTATCACAGATGTCCCACGGGAACGAGAACTATACGTCAATGCCCCGGGACTGTCTAACTCTTAACCACTGAACTTATTTTAGAGAGATTCGGTACAACAATAGTCGATAGAATAGCTTTTATTACTTAAACCTTACGTGATCGGGCACTGTACTGGTAAGATCCCTGCGGGATTATTTATTTATTGAAACTACGATAAATCATTTCAAAATAGGTAAATCTTACTTGGGCACTGAATTGATTCTGATTAATTCTGTCAGAAGTCATTAATCTACGCGGACGAAGTCGCGGGCAACAGCTAGTATTGTTATATGATTCTTGTGTTACGAAAAATATTGATTTCTCACCAGCCCGCGACTCCATTGTTTTGTAATAAAAGGTCATTGTTTTCCATTACAAGACATTCTTTAATAATACCTACTACTGCGATTTGCAATTTATAATTGTCATAGATGTGATTTTCATTTTTCTAAAAACCATCTTTATGTATTGTAGATTTATATACTTTTTAATAGTATCTTATCTTATACTATTAAATAAAGCTAAAGAGTTTGTTTGTTTAAACGCGCTAATCTCCGAAACTACAGGTCCAATTTGAATAATTATATTTGTGTTCAATAGTGCACTTATCGAAGAAGTCTATAGTAGGCTATAATTACCGAAGGCCCAATTAATCCCTCCCTAATCTCCTTTTTATGAAATAGGAGTCCAACGGGCAGGCGGGTAACCTGATGCTAAGGGATCAGCGACGATTGCATAAGACTATATTTACAGTAAAAATTGGGTGCATTCCTGCACAAGCTGTCAAGGAACAAATTGTGTTCTCGCTAACTAAAAACCTAATGGAAACTGATCACTACGATTGAAACGATAAAGAAGGTTATTAAGCTACGTATCACCCACACAAATCTATATGCGGAAGATATAAGTGCAAGCTATAAACATATTATAATACACAGGTAGGTAGTTAGGACGGAATGTTATTGTCATTGTCGCTTGAAGGTCATTTCGATGTCTAGAATCTAGTTAGGGCCATCTATTAATTACGTCACACGTTGAGGGGGAGGGAGGGGGTCGACAAAGAGTGACATTGTGTGACAAGGGGGTGGGAGGGATTCTAAACTTTGTGATGTGTGTTAAAACACAAACTTTTAACTATTAATTTACGGAAAACTGTAAAACATGTACATTTCTTGAATTACCTAATATATTTTTTTTCCATTCAATAATTTCTATAATATTTTGCAAAGTGTGACGTCACACTAAGAAGCGGGAACTTTTACAAATGTGACCAGCTGTGACAGGGACGGGGGACACACACACAAAAAACATGAAATTTGTGTGACGTAATTTATAGATGACCCGTTAATTATTATAGTTATGATTTTTTTATTTTTGACGCCTCAGTAGGCAGTTACTATTAACCCCTCGAGCGTCCTTATGAGCACCCGGTGGATCATAAGAAAAAATGCTCCATGCTGCTTTCTCTTTTATAAAATTTATTATTGTTTTGTTTTTATTTTGACTGTATTTTTTATTTCTATTGTAATAATCCTTGTTTTCGTGTGCCAATGGCCAAATAAATGCATTTTCTTTCTTTCTTTCTTACTTTCTCCAAATGTCACTTGTGCACTCGTTGGATCATAAGGAACGCGGACGCTTGACGGGTTAATTAATCTGTGAATAGGCGCCGTCATATGGCGGGTCGTAGAACTGTCAACTCATAATGCATACAACCTAAAAGTCATGATTAGCAGACTTGAATGAGGATTGAGTGACGCGACGTTGCCGCCGTATAGGAATAGTTTTGATTGTTTGTATATAAGCAAGCATACGTCTTGCAATTGTCAATTGATGAAAGCGTGTGCAATAGGCCTTAATCAAGTTGCATGGATTCTTGATTACCTACTAAGGATAGAGTTTTGGCCTTGATCGCCGAAAGGGACTAAAGTTTGACCGTTTTTCGGGTTATTATTTATCTAATTATACATTCAAAGTTCTAATTATCTTTTCGCCAGGTATATTATGAGTGTAATGTAATATAACAATAAAAAAATCTGGCTTTTTTATTACCTTTAAAGTCGCAAAGCAAAAACTAGCATAACTATAATACTTTTGTGCATAACTCTTAAACCACAAATTACCTGATTATTATTTAGCTGCAGAAACATAAGATCCGGACACTTGAGTATAGACACAGGGAACTCCTTGACCTTGTTGTTCTTCAAATTGCAGTGGACTAGGGAATCCATACAGTCCATGGTGTCTGGTAGTGTTTCTATAAAGTTGTTCTCTAGCGTAAGCCATCTGAAATAAATATTATAAACTTTATGCTTCCTTCGTTGGTGCAATAACCAGTTATAAAGAAGAAGTGGGCAGCTTCTTTTAAAATTTGATAATGATGTAAATGCAATTTGCAAGACTCCTCCTCCTGCCAAGTGTGGGGATTATAGTCTTGGGCGAAGAGCCTTTGTTCAGCAGTGGGCACATTCTAGTTAATCATAATGTGTGGCAATAAGCTGACCTCATATTACATAGGAGTGAAAATCCACATAAGTGTGCATGTCTGCTTACCTCATTTGCAGATTAAAAGGTCTGATGTAATGTTAATGTTATAGATAATTGGCAGACTAATAACTTAGTAATAAAGAAAACACATAAAATAAATCTGTGTTCAAAATTGAAGTCAAGGTTGTATCTGGATTTAGTCAACATACAACTTGTTTGACTTTGAGCCCAATCATTGTAAGTCAGAGTAGATATTAACAAATCATAGATAAAAACTTTTAAGGCCAAATTCAAGGTTCCATCTTTTTTCTGTACCAAAACCTTGAACTAAGTATAGGCAAGGAGGTTGGTAATTATTTAATGAGATACTGTATGAGGTCATTGCTTGTGCCTAAATATGTGGAACTAAAAAAAAAAACATAATTTATCTATAACTTACTTTTTTCTAATTATTTTCTTGACAAAATATAACAAAATAATAAAGAGAAGATTATGGTTGTGCTAAATACAAGTTCAGTGATTAAATAAAATTACACACTTACAATAAAAAAAAAACAAAATTGACTAATGCACTTGCACTTACCGTAATTTAGATAACTTGGTGATTTCCTCAGGTAGAGCAACCAGCTCATTTCCCCGCGCGCCGAACGTGTCTAGTTTTTCCAGCTTCCCTATTTCCTTGGGAATCTCCCGCAGTTGTATTTTGTTGCACCAGAACGCCTCCAAATTTTCAAGTTCACCAATTTCCGGGATCAAAACCTTCAGAGGATTGTAGCTGATGTTCAAATTCACCAAGTTTTTTAAGTTACCAATCTCCGGCGGAAGATGAGTTATATTATTATAATCTAGCGTCAACGTAGTTAAGTTCACTAGCTGAGTTATTTCCTGAGGGACCACTGTTATTTTATTTCTATGCAAATACAAATGTTCGACATCGGAACAGGTGTAAAGCAAATCCGGGATTTCAATGATTTCGTAAGCGTTCAAACTCAGCCGGGATTTCTTTTTGACTATAGCCTGTTCGATAAGGGCCAGTATATGGTTTTCACGAATAAATTTTAATATTGCACTCATTTTTGTATCTATTTTTGGTTACATTTCTATTGCGTTTTTGAATTTGTTGTGAATGTGACAGGTGTGCCTAGGTCGCGAGTTTATGGTAAATAAACATAAAAATCTGATTGAAAAACATCAGAGCAGGAAAGGGAGATCAAGTTAATCTTGGCGGAAAGAGATAGAAATAAAACATCGTTGACAATCTGGAAATAATCTGGAACGCGATCTTGACATTACATAACTGAGTGTTGCAGTGTTTACAAAACTATTTTCTACCGTTTACAGCTTAATAGAAGAATTCAGATTTTAAATGAAACTTGTATTGGAGTAATCACATAACATTAAGCTAAAATTTTCCAAGAGCGAATATTACCTGAATATCATATAACTAGACTATTAAAATATTTTCAAATATGTTCAGTTTCATACTGTAATAAAATTTCATTGCTTTCAGTGTAAAGGATCGTTACCACTGTATCGATTTTCCGCGGTAATTGTGAAAATGGCTGGCTTTTACCGCAGCTAAATAATTAAACAGATACAACTTATTAACAAAATAAGAAGTGGATTAAAATATGGAAATCATTAATTTTCTTTAGTCAAAATATAAAAGGTGGTTTAGATCGACAAGTCTTTCAGTGTAAGCCAGAGTAAAGAATATCAACATGCAGTCATTTGTTTTTAAATTAATATTTTCTTTGATATTAAGTTTACAATTATTTGACGCAGATGCTAATGGTAAGAAATTGTTACATATGTAATTTGAAATGCATTAGTTCAAATTATATTTTATTTGTTTATACAACTCATAAATAAACATACCCTACGAGTTGGTACTTTAATTGACCTTGGTTTCACGCATGTTAATCTACTAGATGTGTAGTGTGCAATTAAAAAGCACTAATTGGCTTGTTAGAAAGTTATATGATAACATCGCCACAGTTAATTAACATTATTGCTTGACGTGACCTCTCTGACCTGCCACGAAAATAAAAAGTAAATAATAGGGCTTGATGTATTGTTTCTTTTATATGAATTAACTTTGTTTTTTACATTATTCTGTCGTGTATTTGTAGATTTTATAACAAACAAAAATAGAAATGTAGCTTTCGTTAACATAAAACTCCAATACAACAAAAGCATCACATTTTCAATTCAGAGGGCTTTAAAAGGGATAAACAGAGTCGTACGGAGTATATTAATTAGCACTTTTTTATATCAATTATTTATGAGTCCTTTGTATTACTTTGTCATTTATTACAAACACTAAGCTAAATGCTAATTGCATGCATGCAATGCCAGAGAACTGCAGTTTGTTACTTAGAGTTTTCACATATTATTTATTTGTTTTCACATGTTTATCCTATAATACCTTGTTGATCTGAAAATCAAGGACGGATTATACAAACAATAAATACAGGACAAACGAGTTATTATAAAGAACGTGAACATACTTTGATATTGAAAATAATTCCAGGGTCCCAAAACAAGAGTTCTCATCACCTCCGAAGACTGGGTGACGATGGATACTTCAAGTCGAAGCCATCATACCGCTCTTTCCAACCGGTATCCATTCGATATCACAAGTCTACCTACCCAAGGTCCGATGATCGATCTGATTATGACATAACTTCGTATGATACGGAGTACGGAGGAGTTGTCTCCAATTTTACGTCTTCCATTTATGATGATAATCCTCAGTTGTATCCTAACCCGGAGTTTGTGGCGCGGAGTAATCAGGGTAAGTAGTTGTAGTATAGCATTAAAATATGATATTGACAATACTTATTAAAATTTCGCTGAAGTGTTCGGAAATAATTGTTAAAATAAAAGCGCCATAAGAGCCTCTTCATCTGATCTTTAAACTACAAAGCATGGGTTTTTGGGTAAAGACTTTTTTAAACCAGATAGCTCCTGTAATAGTCCTGACATGACTCTAATTAGAAAGAAAACAATTATTATTGTAGAAGATACAAACCCAGAATTGAATCGCAATAACATTTTTCAAACAAACAAATGTCATTTAGACAGTCACTATAAACGTTTTCTTTTCAGTTATAAGTAAGAACGCAGACAACAAGGTAGACATTGAGCCAGATCTACCCGATGATTCCCTGGCTGATGCAGATCTGAAAGAACATAACATTATAGACAGTGTGACGTACTTGTACGGATTCAACAACTGTCACGGAGTAAGAAATGAATGGATGATCCTGGTGAGTGTCTGTCCCTGTGTGTCCCTTATCCAGAATTCGTAAGAATATTTAAGGGTGATTGGTGAGAGGAAAAGATGCAGTATTACTCTTTCGTTGATTGATATTTTTTCTTTTTCATCTGGATAATGGTTTAGGGAAAAGAGGCACTAATAATTCATTTCTGTTTGTCAAAAACCAAGAAAAAAACCTGACGTTGAAAATATATCTTTTCATAACAGATCTTCATCACAAGCGGCATAGCAGTAGTCCTACTGATCAGTGCAGTAATGTGGCTCATGTGGAGTGAGTACGCAGCTGAATTCCGTCGCAACAGCAAGTTGTATCCCATCAATATTAACTTGTGTTGCTGTTTGGCTGCTTGCACCATTATTTATATACAGGCTGTGATGGTGAGTGGAAAAAAAATATATTATTCACGTAATATCTTTCGAAAGAGTGTTATTTGTTATTTCCATGAGTTAATTATTATTTATTTCTATTTGTTAATTACTCCAGAAAATCAAGTGATAATTTATCTAACTCTAAAATTCAACTCGACGTAGATGTCTTTTCTATTTTAATTAAAATAATAACATCAATGCAATGAACAAAGTTTTAACACCTCAATCTATCCTCAGGGGGTATCATCTCCCTCTCAGTGTGAGAGGATAGCCCTCCTCCTACATTATACGCACGTCTCTTGTGCTATGTGGATAGTAGCACTCGCGGCTGCCGTGGCGGAGTACTGTGCTTGTGACACTCTGTTGCCACTGAAGTATAATTATCTGCTGGCCTATGGAGTACCTGCTGTTGTTGTCATGGTAAGAATAGCATTGTAATCTTACACAGAAATCTATTACTTAACTATAGCTATCTCGGTAAAATCCTTGTATTTTATTGATGTCTTTTTTCAGTTCAATTACGCTCTCTCAATGGAGCACTATGAAATAAAACACTACTGCTGGATGTCCATCGAAAAAGGCATGGTTATGGGCTTCATGGTCCCAGCAATGATCCTCATCTTAATAAACACAGCCATAATAATCTTGGGCTTACAAAGCGTTAATAAGAAGCAGGCGGAAACGTTAACAGCGAAAATACAAGAGCTAGTGGACCACCATATAGCTAATTGGCCAAAAACTGATGGCGGCCAAATGGATGATAAAAATGGCAGTATTGATACGTTAGATAATATCTACACTCCAGGCAGTAGTAGGAAGAACACGGATAGTTCTGAGACCCTTGACAAAGATTACAATGGAAGCGAAGACGATTGCCATTACGTGAACATGGCAATACCTGGGGAAAATGGTGAAACTGGGAGTGAGGTGAGTTGTTATCAGAAAAATATAATATAAGTTACAGTAATCTTTAAACTGTATTAAACGAATTTCTTCATGTTCAATCTTAGCCTAACTTAGCTCAAGCTGCGAAGGCTATGCACGACAAGAGCCTCCTAAACATGCTATACATGGACAATATATCTTGGAAGTGGACTTGGAACACGGAAGGCAATGAGCTGAAGACCTATCTGAACTTGTGCCTTGTGTTGGAACCATTCTTTGCCATCAATTGGGTTATGGGAGTTGTAGCTATCGAGAATGCGGCGCATTGGTCTACTCCGACGATTTATTTGATTCTTGTTGTTGTTATGGTAAGTGTTGAACGCTTATTTGAACCATCTATGGTCTATTTGTAATGATGACCAAAAAGGGGCTTGAATTTATTTACTTTATTTGCAGTACATATACTTAACTACGACAATATGTACAACGTTGCCGATCGTGCGTCCGAAAACCACAGCGCCATGCTGTGAGGCCGTCATCAGTGAACCAACGCTTACGAGAAATAGGTGAGGTCTATTATACAAAATACCTTATTACAATGTCTAAAATTAAGACTTAGCGTTCAAGTTTTTGTGAATAACTAAATGAAAACTTCAAAGAAATAAATTTTCGTTCACAGGACTACTGACAGTATTCCGTTACTGGACCCAACAATCCAGCAACCAATTGTGACACCGGCACCAGCGGATACTATAAGTACTATCAGTATTTAAGTCACATGCCACACGCTGGTTGAATCAGTTCAGTCACAGTAATGACTTGGCGTGTTATGAAACACGTGCGAAATTCGATTGGCAGATCTTCTGCTTTCAAAGGTAATTCAGCTTCACTGGTTTTCAGTGCAGAGCTAAAAGACAGGATTGTAACTTGACCGTCTGGATATACAGAGGCCCAAATGGCTACACAGAAAAATGAGATTCATTCAATCACATTTTGGTCAATAAAAATTCAAGTTTGCGTATTATTTGGTAAAAAGGGTGCAATATAAAAACACAACAAAGCCTCTGTATGTAATATGCCGTCGTTATGGGTTAGGATAGGGTTTTGAAAGACGATAATTTTATTAATAAGGTAGCTGTGACCATAGACCTTTAATAAGGTCCTTAGCTGTGACTTTGTGAACTTTTTTTATCGTGGATTATGTTAGTAGTTAGCATTCATGAAAATGAATGAAACTTTTGTTTTCATCGCGAACGTATAGTTCTTAGGAATAATTGAATTTAAGAAAATCCCTGCCTTTCGCTGTGAAACAGAATAAAATTAAGCTTGGTATTTTAGTATAATTTATTTATGATTTCTACTATTTATTAGGTGTTAATTTGCTCTGGTATCATTCATAGGTAGTAGTTGCAAAAAATGTTGCAATGTTTGAATTTATTCTGCCCGCATTTTTTGCAAACAAGAACAAAATGAATTAAGAATATTGTCTCTACAGTTCTTCCTATTTGTAACCAATGAGAGACGATTTGAGTAAAGA